GCCAAACACTTGCTCGCCAAATGCAAATGCAAATGTTTGCATAGTCGTCGTGTCTTATCAGCCATGCGATTAGTTGTAGAATGAAAAGTTTGAGCTATTCAGATATTTCACTGTAGGAATTTCCATTTCCATTTCTAGGTGCCCCAAGTGGGATAAGATAATAGTCTTTATAGAGTTTTAATGTGTGCTCACATACATATATTGTAATACTAATATCTACCCCCACTCTCTATCCCTCTCTCCCCCCTCTCTCTCTCTCTCTCTCTCTCTCTCTCCAGTCCACGTTCAAGCTGTCGCTATTGGCCAGTGGCTCGACCATTGAGCTGATCGATCAGCTGCTGCTGGGTAAGGCACAGAATGGCATGGCCATAATCCGACCGCCTGGCCATCATGCCATGAAGTCGGAGTTCAATGGGTATTGCTACTTCAACAACGTCGCATTGGCCGCACAGCACGCCCTCGAGGCGCATCAGCTGCAGCGCATCCTGATTATCGACTACGATGTGCATCATGGCCAGGGCACTCAGCGTTTCTTCTACAATGATTCCAGGTGGGTAATCAATGAATAGAAGTATCCTTAAGCTTGAATACAAATTCTGTCTCCCTCTCTGCTTTTTAGAGTTTTGTATTTCTCCATACATCGCTATGAGCACGGCAGCTTTTGGCCCAATCTTCAGGAGTCGGACTACCATGCCATCGGCTCCGGTCCCGGCACTGGCTACAACTTCAATGTCCCGCTGAATACCAAGGGCATGGGCAACGGCGATTACTTGGCCATCTTCCAGCAGCTGCTGCTGCCGGTGGCCATGGAATATCAGCCCGAGCTGATCATTGTCTCTGCTGGCTATGATGCCGCCTTGGGCTGCCCGGAGGGCGAGATGGAGGTGACGCCGGCCTGCTATCCGCACTTGCTCAATCCGCTGCTGCACCTGGCCAATTGCCGTGTGGCTGTCGTCCTGGAGGGCGGCTACTGTGTCGAGTCGCTGTCCGAGGGCGCCGCCTTGACGCTGCGTGCGCTGCTCGGGGATCCCTGTCCGCCGCTCGTCGAACGGCTGGAGCTGCCCAGCATGGAGCTGCGCGAATCGGTGCTCAACTGCATCTATGTGCATCGACCGTACTGGCGCTGCCTGCAGCTGCAGCAGACCTACACGCCCGCCGACTTGGAGTCGGAGAGCGCGGCAACAGCTCAGCTGCATCGCGTCAAGCGGATTTGGCTGGGCGGTCCGCCTCCAGAGCCGGATCAGCGTTATCCCACACGCGGCACCTCCGCTCAGCTGCCCGAGGACGTAGTCGCTCGCAATGCCGCCCGCCTATCCGTGCTGCGCGCCGAGACGCAGCTGTCGGTGCCTGCGATACGGGTCTGCTATGCTTACGATGCCCAAATGCTGCAGCACTTCAACTTGCACGACGCCACGCATCCGGAGCAGCCGATGCGCATACGGCAAATCCATCAGATGCACGATGACTACCAGCTGCTGGGGCGCATGCATCAGCTGTCGGCGCGCGCCGCCACCACGGACGAGGTGTGCCTGGCCCATACGCGGGCCCACGTCAACTCGGTGCGCCGCCTGCTGGGCCGCAGCGTCGAGGAGCTGCAGCAAATGGGAGCCGGCTACAATTCGGTGTACCTGCATCCGCGCACCTTCGAGTGCGCCACCCTCGCCTCCGGTTCGGTGCTGCAGGCTGTCGACAGTGTCCTGCGCGGGCAATCGCGCAGCGGCATCTGCAACGTTCGCCCACCCGGCCACCACGCCGAGCCGGATCAGCCGCACGGCTTTTGCATATTCAACAACATAGCCATTGCCGCCCAGTATGCCATACGGGAATTCGGCCTGGAGCGCATCCTGATTGTCGACTGGGATGTGCACCACGGCAATGGCACACAGCACATCTTCGAGTCGAATCCCAAGGTGCTCTACATGAGCATACATCGGTACGAGCACGGCGCCTTCTTTCCCAAGGGCCCGGCGGGCAACTACGACATGGTGGGCAAGAATGCGGGGCGTGGCTTCAATGTGAACATACCCTGGAACAAGGTGAGTGCGCAGCCCTGGCTAATATGCATTTGCCCTGTAGTAAATCGCGTTTCCTTGCACTTTGCAGAAGGGCATGGGAGATCTGGAGTACGCGCTGGCCTTCCAGCAGCTCATCCTGCCCATTGCGTACGAGTTCAATCCGCAGCTGGTGCTCGTCTCGGCCGGCTTCGATGCGGCCATCGGTGATCCTCTGGGTGGCTGCAAGGTGACGCCCGAAGGCTACGGCCTCTTCACCCATTGGCTGTCCGCGTTGGCCGGCGGCCGGATCATCGTCTGCCTGGAGGGTGGCTACAACGTCAATTCCATATCGTATGCCATGACCATGTGCACCAAGACGCTGCTGGGTGATCCGGTGCCGACGCCCCAGTTCATCCCAGCCGCCCAGCGATCGGCAACGGTGGCCTTCCAGAGCTGCGTGGAAACGCTGCAGCTGTGCGTGGAGCAGCAGCATCAGTATTGGAAGTCCTTGGTCTTTGGCTGCAAGCTGCCGCAGTGTGTGCTGGGCGAGAATAATAACGAGGATTTTCTTGCTGCTACAATGAGTCAGCTAAGCATCTCAAATGACAATGCACTGGGCGCAGTCGGCGGCGATGCCAGCCAACAGCCCGATCCCGGCCAGGATCGGCCCAGTGGCAGCAAGCCCAAAGTCAAGGTAAAAACGCTCACCGAGTTTATGGCCGAGCACAAGGAGGTACGAGTCACACACACCGGGCATCAGTTGCTCTCACATTCAACTTGCGTCTAATTGCCGAACTAATCTCATGTCTCTCTCTCTCTCTCTCTCTCTATATTTCTCTCGCTCCCTCTGTAACTCGTTCCGCTGCTCTTGCCAGGCGCTCGAGCAGCAGGAAATGTTTGCCATTTATCCGCTCAAAAGCTGTCCACACTTGAGCCAGTTGCGCTCGGAGCAGGCGCCCAAATGTAAGCGAAACGAGAACCACAGCAATATGCAACTATTCCTGTCCCTGTCTTCTGTTCTATTTGTTGTTCGTTTATATTTCTCTCTCTTTCCTACACGCTCTATCTGTCTTTTTCTTTTTCGTGCTTTTTTAGCTTGTGTGTTGACATTTTGAATGCTTTCTATTTGCTTGTGCTTTATTTGTCAACTGTTATAATTGCAATATAACAGTTAATGGAATGTATAATTGTATATGCAATTGCTGAGCACAGTATAACAACGGCAATATAAAAACGAAGATGATTATTATGGTGCTACAATGGAACTCGCATGCCTGTATAATAGTTGTATTACTAGCGCATTGCTGAGAAATGTAATGTGCCAAAAGTAATTGTATATAACACTTGTGAGACATTTGTATAACAGTTTAATAGAGAACACGGAAAAAGATGTACATATATAGCTATACATGAGTATAACAGTTGTACGCGTCGTTACATAGTTGCTCAGATTTGGCGATATAAATATGTATATGCTTTACAGTCATAAAATAGTGTGGCAAACTGTTCTACTGTCACACATTATCGTTGTATAACAGTTTCTTTTTCTTTTTCCTCATCTTGATTTATTTGAATTATGTGTTTTGTGGCTTATTCTGATAATTGTAACTGTTATACGCTGGTGTTTTGTGTTAGCTATTGACTGGCTTTGTAATTTAGCGGTCCCACATCTAAATCCACCCAGATATTAATCAGTGCATTCTCTTGCCCTCTCCCTCGCACAGCAATAAACACGAGCGGCGCATGCGGCGACTGCGGCTCAATGGTGGAGAATTGGATGTGCCTGAGCTGCCAGAGCATCGGCTGCGGTCGCTACATCAATGAGCACATGGAGCAGCATTGCCGACGCGCACAGCATCCGCTGGTGCTGAGCTTCAGCGATTTGTCCGTGTGGTGCTACGAGTGCAACAACTACATTGACCATCCGCTGCTCTATGTCTATCAGAATCTGGCGCACGTGGACAAGTTTAAGGAGCCAATGCCCTGGACGCACGGCTGCCAGCAGCGCACCGACGGCTGCTACCCGATCCAACTGGATGCAGCTGACAGCAACAAGCAGAACAACAACAACAACAACAACAACAACCATGGGGCCAGCGGCTGCAGCTCCAATGCGAACACCAACAATGACGACGACAATGGCAGTGGCAGTGGCAGTGGCAGTGACGGTGTCAGCTACTACATTCAATTGGAGCGAAATAACTGACATTTGGTGGTGCGTGTGCTGGACGCCATTACGGATTACATGTGCACGCTCTGTCCGCCCCTGCGACACGTCTTGCAGCTGTTCATGGAACACATGTGGCCGCTGCTGGAGCGCATTTACCTCAAGCTGATCCAATACTTCCTCACCCAATGAGGCAGCCGTCAGCCATGACAACAACAAGCAGCTCGCATTTTGTAGCCTGTAGTCCGCATCCAGCTCAAAGTACCTTGACTTACGATATATATATATATATATATATATCTGCATATGTATACAAATTCGCACCGCTGATGCTGAGAGTCGTTAACCAACCACCCATCCACCCTTCCTTCCCAAATATTGCGAATTGGCATTAAATTTGTTGTTATATTCTTTCGGTAGAGGCAGAGGTACGCCCATAGATTGTTAACCATTCGGTGGACCGTCCACTTCTTACCGCTCGTTTTAATATCCACCCTCTCCTATTCCAGCCCCAGCCCCTGCCCCATTCCCCCCTTCCAACCACCAAACCCACTTTCTACCTGACTTATTGCATATAGAGATTGTTGAAAAAAAAAAAAAAAAAAAACAAAAAACAAATTATAAATAGGAAAACCAAAAAAAGTATGAAAGTTAAAAGAGTAAAACAAAAATGTTATCACTAATCATTAATTAATCATGTACGAAATAATAAAACTAGTAAACGACAAGCAATTTTTTGGCACTAACAAAAATGTTTTTTACTTTTACATTCATGACTTAGAAGAGTTAAGCTATATAGTGCTATGTGAGTGGAAGCGGTTAAGAAGCATACGAACCACTTCAAAAAGTATGAATTCACATTTATTGATGGTATTTATGAAAGTGAATTATGTTGGTTGGTCTTTTAATCCCTTTGCGTTTTGCATTTGTGGGATGTGGTTAGGTCATCATCGTGTTGCTTGCATTTAAAGGTAGAGGCGTCGCACGGAACGGCTGCTGGCCAGGCGAGCGTTGCAAAGGGGACACATGTGATTGGAGCGAATAACACGGAGGATACATTCCCAGCAAAAGACGTGTCCACAAACAGTTGATGCCGCCTGGCGACCTGTCACGTACTCAAAGCACACTGGACACTCGTAGCTCATCGGTATAACCTCGCCGTCGGTGTCAACCATGCGGCGGCTAGAGCGTTCCGCCTCTTTGGGGGCATCGTCGACGGCATCGCCTGCTGCGGCCGGTGTACTCGGCTCGGCCAGCTCCTCTAGTTCATCCGGTGTATTCGACTCGGCCAGCTCCTCTAGTTCATCCGGTGTAGTCGGTTCGGCCGGTGCGGCTGGTTCAGCCGGTGTGGTCATCAGCATGGCTGGTGCGGCCACTGCAGCTGGTGAAGCTGGTGTAGTCATCAGCATGGCCGATGCGGCCATTGGTGCAGCCGGTGTAGTCGGCACGACCGTTACATCTTGGCCGGCTGGTGCAGGCGGCGGAGTTGGAGCCGGTTCTGGCTTAGGAGCAGGAGCGGACTCTTGTTCCTCCATCTCGTCATCTACCAAGTCAATTATAACCAATGGAGCAGGCTCTGGTGCCTCCATCGGCTCATCCACCAAATCAATTGTAGCCACCAATGGATAATCAACCGGCGGCTGGTTTGGCCTACGTGTGCGACTCACAACGCTGTCCGAGAGATCCACTATCACAGTCGGCCCTTTAGAATCAGTGAGGTCAAGAATCACTGGATGCTTGTCAAATCGTCCCGACGGTTTGTTCTTGGCGTTGCACGGCAATGGCTCACCTGGGTTCCTGTTCATATCTGCGAAACGAGAAAATTACTTTTATAGTAACCAGAACACATAAATAACTCGAAGACCACAGAAAAGTAATATACAAACTCATTAATTGGCTTGATTCTTTTATGGATTACTGAAAAAAAAAAAAATTTGGAAATTTACAATTGTGTTTTTCTGCTGTGAAAATTTTCGTTTGTTTTTCTCCTTCTGGTTGTGAACTGTGCGAAGCCTCTCAGACGAATGAAAATTGTGATGGACTGCTCAAGCGGCAGTTTCGGACGTCTCCACTATGGCTGACACAGGATGGCAGAGACTGACCAAGTGTTGCAAAGAGCAGCAGTCAACTGTCACGTAACTGTAAAGCTGCGCACGTTTGAAACACAGGCATTTGTTTAGACAACTATTTGCGCATGCACAGTATAATTTATATATATATGTGTATGTATATATTTACTTACCAAATAAACTATCGCGTTGCGCACTCGCCGTTGCTGTGCGCAAGCTCCGTTGTCTTTGGCGCGTCCTTCGGTGTTGATCTGCTTACTAAATAATTAATTTTCAGCTGCAGCCGAAGTCAAGCGAATATTGTGCAAAGAGCCGTTAGATTTATATTCACCACTTTGCAGGTCCGTTAAGAGCAGCGCATTGACTGTCTGTCTCAGCGCATTCCGTGTTGCGTGTTGTTAAGTTTGGGTAAATTCACCACATCGTCGTGTTGCTCTCCCGCTCGGGAAGTAACGGCGCTTTTCGTGTTGCACGTCAGTGTGGCTGTGCGGCGGTACGGTACTATCGTTTCGTATGTGTGGCTAACGTTCACACATGTGCATAACTAACTGTAAATGCCAGTTGGTTTTCGTCTTTGCAACTTTGTGCGCTTTTCCTCTCTGGTGCTATTACTTCTGTGCGGCTAAAATGTCGAGAATGTTGGGTAAACCGAATACAAAGGAAAACTTGCTATATAAATGGCAAGTGGAGCTGGGCGAGCCTTGCTTGCAACCGCTTGATGGCTATATGCATTGCACCCTGTGCAATACGCTGGTGAGTGCTTAATAATAGACCAATTATTTATATGGACATGCATATCTATGCAGACATTTTGAATTTCGCAGATAAGTGCCAATAGGCGTGCGCAGCTCGTGTCGCATTTGTATTCTGCTCAACACTTGGGCATTGAAGTAAAATCTCCAGAGAGAAAAAAAAGGAAAATACACACAACAGCACCGGCAACAGCAACGGTGACAACAACAATAACAACCGAGGCAGAAGAAGCAGCTATAACAAATGAAGAAACTGAGAACCGTACGAATGCGGACGAAGGCAACGACAAAGACATCGACAAAGACAACACTCGCAATGATAGCGCATTTGATCTGGAATTGTGCGCAGCTTTCAAGTCGGCCAAAATTCCGCTTGCGGCATTAAACAATTCGCAATTTCGCACCTTTCTTCATAAATACACTAACCGCCCCATACGCGATGAGCAATTCATGCGCTGGCGTTATAATGCCTAGGCTTCAATTGTGCGTACTACTCCATGATGAATAATAAAGAAAGCCCAACAACGTAATTTAATTTTAACGGAGTTTTCTTTTTATAGGCGCGGAGCATATTGCGCTTAGAAAATGAACGCGATTTTGAGCCGATTTATGCGCATCTGTGCGCACAATCGAAATGATGTGTTTCGATAGCGCATAATATCGAACCGCGGCAGCCATGAGTTAAACTTCATATTTAATTGAAATTGTGGGCTTATTAGGTTTTTTTTTATTTTTTGTTTGTTTTACAAATACGGTTTGAACTAATTTAGCTCGATTAAATTTATGTGTGAATGTGTTGTGTGCGACATTTATTTTTCATTTTTCGCACGCTTTGAATGTGTCTGCTTAGGCGCAGCTTGTGTGCGTTTTGTTGGCGACTTCTTTGAAGATTTTCTTTTTGGCTCGTCCTCTTCCTCCTCCTGCTCAGAATCATCGTCGTTTTCGTAGGTTTCGTCGCTATCAGAATTAGATGGCTCGGTCTCGGAGTCGCTCGTAACGTATTCGCTTTCATCGTCATTCTCTCCATTCTCATCATTTTCGTCATATTCAATGGCGACATAACTGCGAGGCTTTAGCGACTCCAGTGCCTCAATGCGAGCAGCAAGCCTGGCTGACTGCTGTTTGTCGATTGATAGAGTTGGCGTGCTCTTCTGTGACTTGCCGAACTGTGAGTTATCCAGAAGTGAAAGACAGGTGGGACGACAGTCGATGTTCGTGCATGCGAGCAGCGAGACGTGCATTTTATCCACATTGCATTTCCAGGCCTTGATCTCGCCCGTGCTGTAAGGAACCGTATTGAATTACACAGCATATTGATGAAGATGTAGGAAAAACTTACCTGGATATGGTCACCAGGGTGTTATGCATGAAACCAATTCCCTTAACACGATTGTCGTGCATCTTTATCATCTTGGACTGTGGAAAGAACAAAGGGGAATCATCATATGTGGTAAGCCGTGAAAAGGAATCTAACAGCATTAAACCTTACCGCAGTGTCTTTTTCCTCATCCAGGCATAGCCATGCAATGCAACCATTCTCCAGACCCACCACGCAGTTCTGCTCGTCAGGCCAGGCGACACAGATGGGCTTCGATGTCAGTGAGATTTGCTGCATCACGCTAGCCGTTTGGATGCTCCAAATCTCCATAGTGCGTGGCCCTGCGATGGTGAAGAAATTGCCCTCTGGCGACCAGGTCAGGCAATCGGGGGCGTTGCCCAGAGTACGCTTGCTCTTCAGATTAGTTCTGTATGCGATGCGGCCCTTGACCAAGTTCCATGTGTTGAGCACTTGATCGGCACCCAAGGACAGGCACATGCGGCTACTGGGATGGCAGGCGATATGTGTAACTGCCTTCCCATTGTGGGGCCTGGGCCATTCGCCCTCCGTGGACCAATTTGCCAGGCGTGTGGCAATCATACGCCCGTCGATGCCACCCGACATTAAATGTGTCGAATCTGACGAGAAGACCAGCGTATTCACAATTCCCTTGTGCACGCTGAGAACGTGGGCTTGTTTTCGTAGAGACATGTCATAGATGAAGATGCGATCGTCGATGCCTCCGGTGGCAATCCAGTGCTTGTGCACAGCCAGGGATTTAATCGAGCCATCATGAGATCTGTCCGCAAACGTTGGCTTCAATTGTAACTGTTTCTCGCCGTTTTTGTCGCGGTTCTCGCATAGCTGATAGCCCAATAGATATTCGCTGTAGGTACCAACAATTATTTCAATAGCCGGCACCATGATTGTCAAATATATCTTGATTCTCTTTTATATGTCAATATTGCATCCTTCGAGTTGAACCGCTGCGGGACTACACGTGCGAAGTCTGACAAAACAAACTTCGATAACTGACATCCGATAACATTTATCGAGCCTATCGCACAGGGCTACAAATGTCAACTTTACATGATTTAAAAATTATGTGCTGTAGTTGAAATATCTTACGAGTAATTACATATATCCACTAACCAAATATTATTTGGTTAGTGATATATCTTGCGCTTCTGCCGCACTGACCCGTTTACGGTAGCCAACTTGCAGCCCTAGATTGCATGTGCAGCTTTGCCGGGCAAGCGATAATTTTTGCAAATAAGTTTTTCTAATTAACATTTACTGCTTTAAGCCATTTACTGGCTCAATCAAATAAATCATTATTAACAGCTTAAGATTTGTATGTTCAAAATACTGCGGCAAAGCAATTAAATACGTTTTGCATCCCTGGTGTGAAGGTGCAGCCCTGACGGGCAAACGATTACAATTGTATATGCGGTATTTAAGACATAATTTTGTTAATTTAAGAAAGTCGCAGACAAAAAGCAAAATTCACACGTGAATTTTTAATAGAGATCAATTGTGAAATTAGCTCTGTCGCAGAGTACTAATTTAGGTTAAGTAAAGGGTTTAATTCATATAGTTTGTGCCACCGGCATTTTATAGGAGCCAGCTGCAATAAAAAGCGCGTCGTTGGTCATGTCAAAGAACTCTGGGTAAGTGTACAAAATACAAAATGAAAAAATCGCTTAATCAAATATCAACAGACGTGATCGGGATCGGGAGCGCGACCGCGACAGGGAGAGGGACAGAGATAGGGACAGGGAGCGGGAGCGTGAGAAGCACTACGAAGGTCGGAGCGGTCGTGGGGACTACGACAATGGCAAATCGTCACGCAACGGGGCCAGCCTGAGCAGCAGCTCGCGAGGTGGGCGTGAGGAGCGCAAGCGGCTCAAGGAGCCAACCAAGGAGAGTGATCGTGGTGTTGGGACGCGTCGCGATGAGAAACGGCGCAAGCGTTCCAGGTCCAAGGACTACGATAAGGACAAGTGAGTATATGCAGCTCTCAGGAGACAAGCTTTTCGTAATGCTTTGCCTTACAGACGGCAGTTTGACCGTGAGCGTGATAAGGATAAGGAGCGTGAGCGCGAACGGGAGCGTGAAAGGGATAGAGAGCGCGACCGCCAGCGCGAACGGGATAAAGAGCGTGAACGGGAACGCGACCGTGAGCGAGAGCGGGAACGGGACAAAGAGCGTGAACGGGAGCGTCAACGTGAACTGGACACACGTCGCGCTGCGATGTCGGCAGCTCCGTTGGTTATACCCGTCGGCTCGTCCAGCAGCTCCTCGGACAACGAGGAAGAGGAGGAGGAGGAAATAGACAAGGAGGAGCAACAGCGCCGCCTTGAGCAGGAGATGATTAAGCGACGTGAACGTATCGAGCGTTGGCGTGCCGAGCGCAAACAGCGCGAGCAGGAGGCGGGCAAACGAGATGTAAAGGCGCCAGTAGCCCCCGCAGTCACGAAATCGGCCAAGAAGTGGAGCCTCGAAGATGAGTCCGAGGAGGATGACAGCAATCCAGCGCCAATCATCGACGTTGATGTGGGCAAAAAGGAACCCGACTCGCCGCCATCCAAATTCCACAGCATTCGCAAAAATTTTGACGACGATCTGGTCGAGTCGAAGTTTGCGCCACTGAAGCGGCCCACATTCAGCAAGGTCCTGATGCTTACATCTCCAGCTGCAGCCGCAGCAACCACTGCTAAATCCACAACAACAACAACAACGACAACAACACCCACAGTGGAGAAACCCACACCAACTACAACAACAACAGATACTGCAGCCACAGCAGAGCCAGTTGTTGCCGAGCCCGAAGTGGAGCTAGTCAAGGCGGAAGAGCAGCCGGTTGTGGTGAATGCAGCAGCTGATTCACCCAAGACGCCAGTGCAGGTCGAACCGACTGCGGCCGCTGTGGAGTCCGAGGACGATGTGGATCCACTGGATGCGTATATGCAGGAGGTGAATCGAGAAATGCGCCGAGTCAATCATTTCGTTAGCCCCGCCAAGGCCCAGGGCGTGGTGATCCTAACGGGCGTGGCCAAAAAGAAGACAGTGGCGGTGAAGAAGGGCGAACTAATTGAACAGAATATGGACAGCTTGGAGTACTCCAGCGAGGACGAACTGGAGGATATACGCGACACGGCTGTCAATCTGGCCATGAAGCATCGCAAAGAGCTAGCCAAGATCGATCATTCCTGTGTCAGCTACGCGCCGTTCCGTAAGAATTTCTACGTCGAGGTGCCCGAACTGGCTCGCATGACGAGTTCCGAGGTGGAGAAGTATCGCAGCGAGCTCGAGGGCATCCAGGTGAAGGGCAAGGGCTGTCCCAAGCCGATCAAGGTAAGTGGGTCATCAGTCGATCAATTCAGCAGTTACGTAATGAGCTTCCGACTCCTTCACAGACGTGGGCGCAATGTGGCGTCAGCAAAAAGGAGATGGACGTGCTGCGCAAGTTGGGCTTCGAGAAACCTACGCCCATACAGTGCCAGGCGATACCGGCGATAATGTCTGGGCGGGATCTGATAGGTATTGCTAAAACTGGCAGTGGCAAGACGTTGGCATTCATTTTACCAATGTTTAGGCATATTCTTGACCAGCCGGCGCTCGAGGATGGCGACGGTGCCATTGCGATCATAATGGCACCGACACGCGAGCTCTGCATGCAGATTGGCAAGGATATACGTAAATTTAGCCGTTCGCTTGGATTGCGACCCGTATGCGTCTATGGCGGCACCGGCATCTCCGAGCAGATTGCCGAACTGAAGCGCGGCGCCGAGATAATTGTCTGTACGCCCGGACGCATGATTGACATGCTGGCTGCGAATTCGGGGCGTGTCACCAACTTGCGACGGGTCACCTATGTGGTGCTGGATGAGGCGGATCGCATGTTTGATATGGGCTTCGAGCCGCAGGTGATGCGCATCATCGACAATGTGCGTCCTGATCGACAGACGGTCATGTTTAGTGCCACATTCCCACGGCAAATGGAGGCGCTTGCCCGCCGTATACTGAAGAAGCCCGTCGAGGTGATCGTTGGCGGTCGCTCGGTGGTCTGCAAGGATGTCGAGCAGCATGTCGTCATCCTGAGCGATGAGGCGAAGTTCTTCAAGCTGCTCGAACTGTTGGGGGTCTATCAGGAGACGGGCAGCATCATAGTCTTTGTCGACAAACAGGAGAATGCGGACATTCTGCTGCGCGACCTAATGAAGGCATCCTATCCGTGCATGAGCCTGCACGGCGGCATCGATCAGTTTGATCGTGACTCCACCATAATTGACTTTAAGTCTGGCAAGGTGCGCCTGCTGATTGCCACTTCGGTGGCAGCGCGCGGCCTCGATGTCAAGGATCTCATACTGGTTGTCAACTATGATGTGCCCAATCACTACGAGGACTATGTGCACAGGTAAGAGTCGAGCAAGACACCCGCACAAGACAGACTACAATTATTCCATCCATTATTCCGTAATCATCCTTTTCAGATGTGGACGCACTGGTCGAGCTGGGAACAAGGGATGCGCCTTTACATTCATCACGCCAGAGCAGTCGCGTTATGCGGGCGATGTGATTCGCGCTCTGGAGCTATCCGGCACACCCGTGCCTCCCGATCTGCAAACTCTGTGGAACGACTATAAGGCAGCACAGGAGGCGGAGGGCAAGACGGTGCATACGGGCGGTGGCTTCAGCGGCAAAGGTTTCAAGTTCGATGAGCAGGAGTTCAATGCGGTAAAGGAGAGCAAGAAGCTGCAGAAGGCGGCGCTCGGCCTGGCCGATTCCGATGATGAGGAGGACATCGAACAGGATATCGATCAGCAAATCGAGCAAATCTTTGCGGCCAAACGCACCGTCAAGGATACCTCGGTTGCCGGCACTGCGCTAGCTGCGGCGAATGCCGTTGCAAGTGCCCTCAGTACGACCATCACTGCGACCCATGTCAATGCCCAGCAACAGCTGCAGCAGCAGCAGCAACAGCTACAACAACAAATGGCCACGGCAGGGGCCGTAGGCTCGGACAAACTGGAGCTGGCGAAGCGTTTGGCCTCCAAGATAAGCAGCAGTCGCAATTTGGATACGAAGGCGACTCAGGTGGCCACCGAATCGATAATGAAGGGTCAGGCGGGCGTCGGGTCCGGACAGCCAATGCTAACGGCGCGCACCGTAGTCGAACAGCTGGCGGCCAAGCTGAACAACAAGCTCAACTATCAGCCCAAGGAGGATGAGGACGGCCTGTCCGCGCTGATGGGCAGCAACACGAACTCGTTCACCAAATACG